GAATGTTCAAATTATTTCCCTTTGATTTTTTGCTTGAATGAAACAATTTCATGAGAAATATCAGTAACTAAACTAAAATTTTCTAAAATTTTCGTCTAAATTTATTCGATTTCATTCATTAATTTATTTCATTTTTTAAAATTATAACTACGAATTTCAGGAAATTATCTGTATGAAATTTCAAGTCGTGACTGCTTTGAACACTTCGGAAGAAAATGAGACCATAAAGGAAGAAGAAAATAGTTAAAGCGTTTTATGTTGATATAACAATATAAAACTCATTATCGCGAGTAGACCTAAGATATAATGAGAGAGAGGCGTATGTGGGACTTACGCCCTTTTCGTTTTATTTCAACATGAAATGTGTCATCCGAAGTGCACAACACATAATGTAAAAAGGGCGTAAGTGTCATTTTTTGAATGAAATGAAACAGGCGTAAGTGTGGAGATACGCCCCTTTCCCGTTGAAATATAGCAATTACGCCTTTTTCCTATAGATCTTTTTTTTTCCGATTTTTGGTCAAAAATTCCATGAAAAACCGAAAAAACAGGAATTCGGAATATACGCCCCTTTCACTTTTAAAATGGGTTTTTTGGCACTTACGCCCCTTTGATTTTAATGCGACGATATGAATAATGTAAATAATTCATCAATTCCTAATGGGAGGCTTATTACATCTTAATAAACTCATCGAGGAAACATTTGTTTGTATTTCAATCAAGTAATTTAAAATCAAGTTTACTTTTTTATGAAAGCTTTCATTCCTTAAAATCAACTGCATCATCATTATTTTTATTCATCTTCACATTTTCTCCATTTTTCACCAGAAAAAAAAGAATAAAAAAAAATTTTAAAAATCGTACGATTATTCTTATCGCAATGCGTTCTGGACAGCCAGCGGCCTATCGCCTCATCATGGATTTGATGAAAAAGCATTACAGAATGCACGTCGCACGGAGAAAAGTGGCGGGGATGAGCGGAGGGGGGGAAAAAAGTAATGTTACGGGAAATCATACGATATCTCGCCACCACTGTGCGTCGCACACTGTTCAATGCTTTCATTAAGTCGGTTGTGGGACAAATAGTCAAACTGAGAGGCACCGGGAACGCCTGCCAGTTGATCGTGAGGTGTCTGTGATACCGGATCTATTGGATTTAATTTTTTACGGATTTTTGTGGTTGGTGATCAGAAGAAATTGTTCGGAGTCGAGAGGGTAGGATTTATCACCTCGAGGGTTTCAAGTTATTTTGTCTAATTGTGTGAGTAAATCGATCGCGATTTATTGTGAATTAAATGGGGTGAAGAATGGGATGGAATCTCAGTGCTTGGGAAAGTTCGTGTGGAAAGTGAGAAAGTGACAAAATCACGGATTTTAAAAAATATATTTTGAGCCTAGCCGTGTTTTTTTTTAATGAAATATTAATAATTGTAGAATTATAATTGTAATTATTTCGGTATCTGTTAATTTTTCAGGAGAAAATGTCACAAGCCATTTTTTGGGAAATTTCATCAGCTACAAAAAGTGTCAGTGACATTTTTCCATAAAACCACTTGTTCTCGAGATATTTTCAGTCTACCATAAACATTTCTTTTAACGAAAAAATTAGCAATTGATGAAGAATCTCAAATCGTTTTTTCAATCAAATTGACAATCGTAATTCCATTATGTAATGAGCTTCTTCAATCTCTTTTACCATTTTTTACTCAACATTTCTTACATCGTACTGAAAAAGCAAAAAATTGTATCAATAGCTGCACTCAACACGTGGACGTAATTCCCTCCAACATTGAATTTCACCTTGACATTTCTGGATTGTAATGATACTGTATAATTTCAAATATATTCACTCCGCTAATTCAACAAGTATTTTTCAAACGTAAGCACGAGGTGTTGAGCGCTGACTTTGCATCCGAATGAATTTTCATGAATCTTCCGTTATTGACGGATTGATTTTCCCAGTCACTGCATGAGAAAAAATAAATTTTTTGTTTTTGAAAGAATTTTGGACATTAACGAGCGATCACCGATCATCAATACTCATCATCCTTGTTGCTTCCGATTTCCAATGGATCATGAGTTAGCGTTCGAAATTCTCTTCTACTTTCACCGAAAATTTTAAGGAGCGGGAATGTGACCCAGCCAGCGACTTGCCAAATTTCCATTTCATTCCGACTTTCACATGTGGAGAGGAGGGCATATGGACCAGGAATGCTATTTATATTTCTTTATCGGTAGAACATGGGATGCCTGGCGTCCCCCTCGATAATCTTTCGGTCACTACGGGCCCGAAATTTTCCCGTTGGGACCGCCGAGCCAATCATGGGATAGAGGGAAAATCGGGAACACTTTACCAATATTAGGAAGTCAAGACTCACTCATCCCTTCTCCAAATTTCTGATCAATCACATCCCTACTTTTCTCCTAAAATTATTAATTTTTATAACAAGTACGAACTGTGGCATGATGAATGATTTTTTTGCGGTGAAGAGACGATAGTTTCAAAAATTTTATCATCATCTTTAATCGCAGTTTCGTTCTTTGTACCAACAAAAAACCTCTTTCTCGTTACAGATCATTCCTAAAAAATGTCAGCAAAGGCGATCCGCGAAGCAACCGGAAAAGATCTGATAAACCGAAAGCTAGTGAACGGCACAAAAGCGGCAAAATGTCGTTTCGTCCAAATAGATGAGCACACCAACTGGAATACAGCCATCGCCGAAAATCCCTGGCTATCCTCGGAGAAGCTGGTGGTCAAGCCAGACCAGTTGATCAAACGTCGCGGCAAACTTGGCCTGATCAAGGTTAACGCCGATTTGCCAGCAGTCCGTCACTGGATAAACGAACGCATGAATAAAGAGCAGAAAGTTGAGAAAGCAACCGGCAAACTGAAGACCTTCATAATCGAGCCATTTGTCCCCCACAAGGCCGAAGAAGAGGCTTACGTCTGCATCTACTCCCACCGAACAGCCGACACAATTCTCTTCCATCACCAAGGAGGTGTCGACATCGGTGACGTAGATGCAAAGGCCCTGAAACTCGATGTTCCAGTGGGCAAAGAACTCCCAGACAAAGCAACAATAATCTCAAAACTCCTTGCCCACGTTGCTGAAACCAAGAAGAACGATATTGCCACTTTCATCGAAGCTCTCTACAAACTCTACGTCGACCTCTACTTCACATACTTGGAGATAAACCCTCTCGTGGTAACCGACGATTACATCTACATTCTGGACCTCGCCGCCAAGCTCGACACAACAGCTGACTTCATCTGTCGTCCTGACTGGGGAGAAATCACCTATCCACCGCCATTCGGTCGTGACGCCTATCCCGAGGAGGCTTACATCGCCGATCTCGATGCCAAATCGGGCGCCTCCCTGAAGCTAACGATCCTCAATCCAAAAGGCAGGATCTGGACAATGGTAGCTGGTGGTGGTGCATCGGTCATCTACTCCGACACAATCTGCGATTTGGGGGGTGCCTCGGAACTCGCCAACTACGGTGAGTACTCCGGTGCTCCAAGCGAGCAACAAACCTACGAATACGCCAAGACTATTCTCAGCCTGATGACAAAGGAAAAGCATCCCGATGGCAAAGTCCTCATAATCGGCGGTGGAATAGCAAACTTCACCAATGTCGCAGCAACCTTCAAAGGAATAGTTAAATCCCTCCAGGAGTTTCAGCCTAAACTGGTGGAGCACGACATCAGGATATTCGTGAGACGAGCTGGACCAAATTACCAAGAGGGCCTTCGCATAATCCGAGAGGTCGGTCGTCGTTTAGCCATTCCCGTCAATGTCTTCGGCCCGGAGACCCACATGACAGCCATCTGTGCAATGGCAATGGGCAAAAAGCCAATTCCAGATCCAGAGGCCCAGGAATTCTCAACGGCGAACTTTTTGCTTCCCTCGGGGCAGGACGTGGGGCCCACCTCCCCCCTGCCAACCCCACCCCCTCCTGTCCAAGGGCCAAAGGTGACGCAGGACTCGACGGACTCGCCGGACTCGCCGGACTCGCCGGACTCGCCGTCGACTCAACAACTCTTCAGCAATGGAACTCGTTCCATCATCTGGGGCATGCAGACAAGGGCTGTGCAAAGCATGCTGGACTTTGACTTTGTCTGTCGTAGGACAGTGCCGTCAGTGGCTGCTATAGTCTACCCCTTTGTTGGTGATCACAAACAAAAGTTCTACTGGGGCCACAAGGAAGTCCTCATTCCGGTTTACAAGCTGATGAAGGACGCCATGGGAAAGCACCCAGACGCCGATGTAATGGTGACATTCGCCAGTCTGAGATCAGCTTACGAGAGCACTGTCGAGACCCTTCAGTTCCCCCAAATCAGGACAATAGCTATAATCGCTGAGGGAATACCCGAGAACATGACGAGAAAGCTCATTCTGATGGCGCATGAGAAGAAGGTCACCATCATCGGTCCAGCAACAGTGGGAGGGGTCAAGCCAGGATGCTTCAAGATTGGCAACACTGGTGGCATGATGGACAACATACTACACAGCAAGCTCTACCGACCAGGAAGTGTGGCATACGTGTCGAGATCTGGTGGCATGTCCAATGAGCTCAACAACATCATCTCCAAGGCCTCTAATGGAGTTCTCGAGGGAGTTGCCATTGGCGGGGATAGGTACCCCGGTACGACCTTCATGGACCACATAATGAGGTACCAGAACAATCCTCAGGCCAAGTTGATCATCCTGCTGGGGGAGGTCGGGGGGGTCGAAGAGTACGAAGTGTGCCAAGCACTCGAGTCTGGAAGGATAACGAAACCCCTGGTTGCCTGGTGTATAGGTACTTGCGCAAGCATGTTTAAATCAGAAGTACAGTTTGGACATGCAGGCTCGATTGCCCACAGCAACATGGAAACAGCTTCCGCCAAGAACGAAGCCTTGAGGAAAGCCGGAGCACACGTGCCCGACAGCTTTGACACCCTTGGTGATCTCATTGCTTCGGTTTATGGTAAACTCGTGGACAGTGGGAGCATTGTGCCAGCACCGGAAGTGCCTCCACCAACGGTACCGATGGATTACAATTGGGCGAGGGAGCTGGGGCTCATAAGGAAGCCTGCCTCCTTCATGACGTCCATCTGCGACGAGAGGGGACAGGAGCTTCTTTATGCTGGGATGCCTGTTACAGAGGTTCTCAAGCAGAATGTGGGGATTGGGGGGGTTGTTTCGTTGCTCTGGTTCCAGCGGTGTCTTCAGCCTACTTACTGCAAATTCCTGGAGATGTCGCTGATGCTCACTGCTGATCATGGTCCAGCTGTCTCGGGGGCACACAACACCATTGTCTGCGCCAGGGCTGGCAAGGATCTTGTTAGCTCACTTGTCTCCGGACTTTTGACCATTGGCGACAGGTTTGGAGGCGCTCTGGATGGCGCTGCACGCATGTTCTCGGAGGCTTACGATGCTGGATTACATCCTCAGGAGTTTGTTAATAATACGAGGAAGAAGGGGGAACTCATCATGGGGATTGGCCACAGGGTTAAGAGTATTAATAATCCTGATATGAGGGTCAAATTGATTAAGGAGTATGTCATGGAGAACTTTCCGGCTAAGCCGTTGGTAGAGTATGCTATGGAGGTGGAGAAGATCACTACCAGCAAGAAGCCCAATCTTATTCTCAATGTGGATGGTATTGTTGCCTGCGCTTTTGTCGATATGCTGAGGCATTCCGGGATGTTCACGAGGGAGGAGGCACAGGAGTATATCGAGATCGGGGCGATCAATAGCTTGTTTGTGCTGGGAAGGAGTATAGGGTTCATTGGTAAGTTGAGGGAAATTGTCAGGGCTTACTATAAAATAATGAATTTTTAAAAAATCAGATAGTTGTGGATTTTTTCAACAATTTCACCGTCACAAGAATCTAATGTTTTTTTTTTCTTATTCTAGGACATTATATGGATCAAAAACGATTGAAACAAGGCCTCTACCGACATCCATGGGACGACATCTCCTACGTTCTTCCCGAGCAGTACAATTGAGTGAATTGTAGAGAAAAAAAATCAGTGCTACGAAATGTTGAAAATCACGTTCTATTGAATGCATAATACGTCCACTCCAATAACTAAGAAAAAGATGATGTTGATAACAACAATGAGATCTCCTGCAGTTCCAGAGGAATGGTGAATCGGTGTTTTTGTCTGACAAGGCATTTAGAAATTTTTGGAAAATAATTAATTCATTGGTTGATTAATTTAGCAATGGATTAGAGAAATTATGAAGGTCTTATTGGACAGAAAATGATTCAGATAAATCTCTGAAGGTGTCACATTCCCTAGTTTGTACGATAAATTAGTGGATAAACAGATCAACGATGGCAGCACAAAGATTCATGCAAGAAAATTTAGAAAAATTACTGAAAAATTATTTTTCAAAGTAAATAGAAAGTAATGAGTAATGAAATTGCACAATTGAAATTTCTTAACCGTTTAGAGTTAAACGACGAGGTGGTGAGTTAAATTTACGTGCATTTGTATTATAATTTACGGGTTGTGTCGAAATTCAATTGAAGGAGTTACATGAGTGAAATAGTTGATTATTTTCATTGTTTATCTAGGTACTATACATATGATTTTTATTACTGTTAGTCACACGGTGAAACGTTCTTTGGAAGGTTTTAATAAGGCTCTTTTCTTTACAAGGTTGAGTATTTTTTCATTTTTTTTTTTTTTTTTCATTAATTTTTAGGCATTCCGGTGGAATGAACAATCTCACTTTTCCGAAAATTGTGTTGATAGAACAAATGGACATGAATGATTGAACTTAATAAAAATTTGAAGGAAGAAATTGAGTATTGCATTTTATTCCATTAGTTTTCAACGTGTTTACGATGATGTTGGCCAGAGGAAAAAATCCAGGGGTTGCTAGCCATAATTATGAATGGATTAAAGACGACTTGAAGCACTTTTTTATGAGAAATCAATCGTTTATTACTAGTCACATTTACGTTAATTCACCATCTCCCACAGCTTCCTACAATCAATGATATAGAATCACTCTTCATTTTCGTTTATTTCTCGTTAAAACGATCTTATCTGAATTATTAGAATTGATAATCGTATTTCTCTTGGCCAATATGATTTTCGTGTACTTGACAGATTCATTGGACTTGATGGTTGGACCCTGGCTCGAATTATTCTGCATCGGAGTTCTGAGGACGATTGGACGATTAAAATTCTGGGATTTCAATCTATCCACTTTTGACGTTGAATTTCCCCCACTCTTGTTACTCAGTAACACAACTTTAGTGGGTGGATTTTGCTCATGTTTGTTATCATGGACCCTGGAGGTGTCCCTGAGGTTCACTGGAGGGGGAGTTTTCTCCAGTACTGTCAGATTTTCGTCGTCTTTGGCAAATATTATAGGAATATCTAGAATACTTCCAAAATCATCACTGAGATCTTTAGTTTCAGTCTTTTTCCAGGAATTATTTGATGCTGTTAGTGGTATTTTTTGAGCATTAGAGTCGCCAGCTGTTAGTTTATTCGATATTGGAATTATTGTCATGGAATTGTCGTTCATCATGGCTCCATTTTGTTTAGTAATATCGTTGACCTCGGGAGAGTCACTGGATTCATGGGCCATGTTCTCCAGCACTAAAAATTCATAATTCACTATTTATTTGCCCAGATGATGAGTTTTATTTAATAACTAAGTGGTAAATCGTGACGAGTGAATTTAAAATTTTTTGCTACTGTTAATCCACAAAAAAGACATTTTTCCCAAGTCCAATAGTTTCCGAGATATTTCCATTTATAAAAAAAAAAAAAAATCCAAAAAATCTGTTCCATCCCACCAACCACGTAAACCACTTGAAAATCAAAGGATCCCCAGGAATAAAGGACACGACTGAAGATGGTATCAAAAATAACAAACTCAAAATCCACCAAAAACCACATTTATTAACACAAAATTCCAAAAGATCATTTTTCATCCCCTCAAAATTTCACTCTTACAATTTAAAAAAAAACAAACAAAACCCCCTAAATCTCCCCTCCCGCCATAGTATCCAAAACAAATCTACCTGTGCTCATCGCCGAAGTGGACGCCGTCTCGGCAGGGTTGGGCTCAGCTGCAGAAGACCTCCTCAAAAGTTCACTCTTCCCGATGAAGTCCTTCCTCACCGCAGTCCTGCCCAGACCCCTCCTCGAGTCCTCCTCGAGCAGCCCCTGAGCTCCCAGCCCACTCTGCCCAATTAGCGCCCCCTCCTCCCCCCGCATGAAGCCCCTCCCCCCTTCCAGTGACTTCCTGACCTTCGTCAAGCTGACCCCCATGGGCCCCTTGTTGACAATCGCCTGCTTGATCCCCTCCCCAGGTCCAGGCCCAAACTTGATGGGTCCAACTGGGGAGAGACTGGCCATTCCTCCAATGTTAAGGGTAATCCCGCCATTGCCATTGCCATTGCCATTGCCCCCCTGCTGTCCAGCCATAGCCAAAAGTTTGGGATTGATCGAGCCCCTCGGCTTGACATTCCTCTTGGCATTGTGCCCATTACGGCCCGGCAGGGATGGCTTGGCAGGCCTCGGCACTTGCATCATAACCGGAATTCCCGGGGGATTCCCCGACCCAGTGGGTGTCGCAGGTCTCGATTTTTTCCCCACAATTTCACAGCTATCGACCGAGCTACTGGTTGAATTCTTTCTCTTTCTGGGTTCTTTCTTCATAGGCTTGCTGTCGTAGTTGATGTGAACGTGTCTCAAGGGTAACGGATGTGGCTGAAGTAGAATTCCCCCAATGAAATTAGCGATCTCATCGAGAATGCACCTGTCAACCATGCCTTGGGTAATGCCCTCCACATTCTTCTTTCTCGATGAGATCCTGAGATGATCGTCAGCAGTTCCAACGACGATGAGACTCGTCTGCACGAGCATCTTCTCCCGTGTTTCCTCGATGTCGTCGGCCCTGACTGTCGCCGCATTCTGACCGATGACGAACATGACGGGGGACCTGACGTCCATGAGAATATCGTCCGGGGTGGAGCGTTTGCCCTCAGCTGTGCTGAAGGGGAATCCCAGACAGATGATCGCTGTGACGTGCTCAATCTGGGAGATCTGACAGGCGAATGCCGCAGCCGTGTTGAAACCGATGAGGATGAGAGGTCTTCCGGGGCAGTCGGACCTGATCTCCTGGATTTTGGCGCGGGTCGCTTGGACCAGCTGATCCATGCAGGATGTCATCGTCATCTTGTTTGAGGTCAGACCGAAGTGGGGATTTATGGTGACGACTGTGCTGAGGGAGTTCAACTGGGAGATCCATTTGAGTTGACGTGGGGAGAGCTGACTTGTGATGCCCGACGGTGTGATTATGAGGATTGGGTTACCGGGGAGTTTCTTAGGGCGACAGGAGTTGAGGGTCGTGGAGACTGGGTCCCACGAGCGCTTCAATACTGAGGTCAGGGTCTCCCAGTTGATGGCTCCTCCCGATCTCGTCGGAATTGTGGGTTGAGTCGAGATTATCTTGTCGACGAGCTGAGGGATTTTCGTTCGCAGGGTCTGGAGGATGTCCAGGTAAATGGTGAGATACTCCCGGGGGAGGTGGTCGAAGAGGAGCGAGTGGAGCCACTGGATGAGCCGGAGATCGTAACCGGTTGACGCAAACACGTGACGGAATCTCTTTGCCGAGGAGTCGATGGACATTCGACGGGAGATGGTTTCCTTCCTCGAGGTGGTCTTCACGAGGCGCGAGAGGTGCTCCTCCGTGAGGATTCGAAGGACCCGGGTCCACAAGCGGCTCTGGAGACACGACCAAAAAGTCTTGTCGATTTTATCTTCCCAGTCTTCCGGAGAGTCGGGACGCGCGAATGTCGCCAGGCGGTGGCATTCCTCTATTTGGTGGAGGGGCTTTAGGAGGTCGTAGGGGGGTGGGGGGGATGGGGGTAATGGGGGGGTTACGACGTCGATATCCTCGTCGGGCTTGAGCTTTTTGGCGCTGGAAGAAGAGAAGGGAAATTTTAGAATTTGGGGGTCAGACGAGTGGAGATTAGCTTTTGTTATGGGGGAAGCGTAACTGGTGGGGTGGTAAAATGGACACTCAAACAATTTGCGAAAAAAATTCAAATTTTTGAAAATTGTTTCATTGGGCAATATGGACAATTGATAAATCCGTATATACATATAGGATAGACTCAAATGGATGCTGAAAAAATTTACCAAAAACTTTCAATAATCGAATTTTTAAAAAGTGCTTCTTGGCAAAGTCGACAACCGAAAAATTGGCTTTAATCTGAAATAAAATCCTTCAATCATACTCACCCAACCGAGTCCCATCCCTTCGAGAAGAAGATCTTCCTCATAGGCTTGACGTAGATGCTCTCTGGCTTCCAGTTCCATGCTCGAGCATAACAATGATCCGTGAGGACAGTATTCACCTCGTCAGCGATGTGTCCAGCCAGGGACTGGAGGTACCTCGTCAGTCTCTTCAGATTCCCTTCCAGGAGATCGTTAACTCCACTGGCAGCTTCACCACTCGATGGATGCACAATCCTATCAGAATTCATATCTAACAATAATGATCAGGAGAAAATTCACACTTGAAAATTCACAATCTTCGAAATGCATTCACGTCATCACATGGGGAAAAATGTTTTATTTCAATTCAGTTTCAATCCTGAGAGAATTGAGCAGTGAGGGTTTGTTATTTACGTCTGAACACAATTTCGCAGTTTATTTCTTCCATGTTTGTTTCATTCAGGTTATATTCATTCGCAGGTTAGTCTTCTGGTCGGTTTTCATGTGGCGACAGGGGTTCAAATTAAGAGTGGAGCTGCAGCTTGAGGTTCTTTCGCTCGTGGATAGCCTACGAAAATGGTGAGTGTGACATTTTATTCATCAAATAATCCGAAAACATCAGGAAAATTGTATCAATTGTTTGCGAATCGATCATGTCCAGTGGAAAATTGAGGCTTTTGCTTTTGGGTGGAACAAATATTTATTTTCTGTCAGGGGAAATTGGGTTTATATGGCAGGCGAATCCTTCGTTATTTCTCCTGAAAGTTTTTTTGATCATTTAAGAGATGTTCAAGGGTTTTAGGGGGTGACAATGACTGGGGTTACCTAATTAGCAGTTTAATCAATTGTTGGGGAGTAAGTGTTTCGCGAAGGGGGAGGGCCATGATAATTTGTTGTTAAGGAATGACAATTGAGATTGAGGTTAGAACACCGATCTTAAGTTATTTCATGATTAAAAACTACGTGTTTTATCCCACTTAATTAATTAATAGTATTTTGGCGACATTTCAGGCACTCGTCATTCCGGAGAAATTTCAACACATTCTTCGTGTCATGGGCACGAACATCGATGGTAACAGAAAAGTCATGTTCGCCATGACTGCCATCAAGGGAGTGGGAAGACGTTATGCCAATATCGTCCTCAAGAAGGCTGATATCGACCTGGACAAACGTGCTGGGGAGTGCTCTGAGGAAGAAGTAATTTATTAAAAATGAAGGCGCTTTCATAGTACATTAATTAATATAAAAAAACAGCAGTGTTAATCGAATCAATGATTTTTTTAATGTAAAATAGGTGGAAAAGATTGTCACCATCATGGCGAATCCCAGACAGTACAAAATCCCAGACTGGTTCCTCAACAGACAGAAGGATATTGTTGATGGAAAATATTCCCAGGTGTGTAGATAATCAGTTGAACAATTCAAATAAAAAAATTGAAAACAATTGATAACTCTTGGGGAAAGAGATGTTTGTGGCAGAAATCACGACCGATGGAATTTATTCATCCGTTTGTTCCATTGGCTGGTAGTTTCTGCTAGATAAACTGCTGTTGGATTAATATTAGAATTATCAAATCCAATATAATTGGTAATTCATCATCTGACGAGCAACAATTTTATTCATAGATTTGAATTTTCACATTTTTTAAATTCTCACTTGTTTTGTAAAAAAGGCATTTCAGAACTTTTTAGGAGTCGAAGCATATTTTTATTCGAAGATGAAAAAATATCACAAGACATATCATAAAATCGATGATTATCGAGATAATTGAATATATAAATTTCCAGATGAATTTTACGCTGGAAAAATCCATTGAAATTGAAGTTTTTTTTTATTCAAAATATATTCTATAAATTAGTCATTTCAAAGAGAACATATCAGACTTTTTTCTGTTGATAAAATTTCTCACAAAAAGTGATTTATTCAACAATATAATGAACTGATTTCGTTCTACAGCTGACGAGTTCAAACTTGGACTCTAAACTTCGTGAAGATTTGGAGAGAATGAAGAAAATCCGTGCACACAGAGGACTCCGTCACTACTGGGGCCTTCGTGTACGTGGTCAACACACCAAAACCACTGGCAGACGTGGTCGCACTGTCGGTGTATCCAAGAAGAAGTAATTTCCTCTATTATTGTACGTCAATAAACTTTTGAAACATCTCATAATTCTCCATCTCTCGTTATTTGACCTCAGGAAAAATACATTTTCACTCAACAATTGCTTTATTTTTCATTTATATACACAAGCTGATGAACGCCAATGGATTCGTTGTGACGAATACCTGAGTCCATTGATTTTTGATTTCTCAAATAATTTCTTAAGGGGATTTTTAAAACTCCGATCGAAGATAAATCTTTTTATTTTTGAAGAAACCGAGTTCGAGAATTTATTTTAATTTATTAATTACATGAAATTGCCTCAATTTCGTAGAATTTTGAGAATGTTAATGATATTGCGCAGCTGCCCCAGCTCATTTGTACTTAATTATTATGAATATAATTCAGAATTCAATTTTTCCACTAATTCGATGATATTCTTTCGATAAAAACTCGCGGGACTTTTCCTTTCTCAATTCCCCTGAAGCCCATTAAATAGTCCTCGTCATCTGGTATTTCACAAACTGAGATTACCTGGAAGATGGATAAATTTTCTATTAGTTTGGAAAATTTCAGGGAGAAGTGCATCAGTTAACTCAGCTTTATGATAAATTTTATTGTTTTTCCAAAAATTTCAATCATCTTCGATTTTATTTAATCAATTGTTCTATCAAATAATTTAATTTATCAATGAGGTATCGAAGACTTGAGAAATTATGGTTTTTCAAGTCTTCGATTCCTCTTCGATTGATTAAATTCAGCGAAACAGTTTTTCTGTTTCGACTTTATTTTATTTTATGTCTGCATTTAAATAATAAACTTCTCTGCATACTTACAAACAGTTTCGAAAGGTTTATCATGCATTCGGAAAGGAGTAAAAAATAAACAAAATGAGAAATAAATACTCAACTTTATTGAAACATTGAGAAATAATTATATATAAAAGTGTGCAAGAAAACGTACAACAATCGAAGGGGCTTAAAATTATTCTACACTAGCGTTATAAATCCGTAGAATTTCAACAAATATTTACAAATAATTAATCAAGCTGGCTTCGTTTGCATCAGCATTATTCCATCGACAGTTGTTGCTTTGGAGGAAAATACAACTTAACATCTAGTGGACGTTCATTACGTATTATTACAGTTTTTGTCATGTGAAAGAGAAGATTGGGGTGTGAAAATAGTCAGCATTCTACTCTGTGTAGAAGTAATATGATTTAGAATAGTTCAACTCGTTAAATACTCGGTTTTATGCAAAATTCTAATGAGCTTTGATTTTATTTATCAACTTGTTTAATCAATTTTTCAACCAAATTTCATCAAATAATTTTTCGACTCTTCGATTTCATTTTTTTCTTTCATATCACGTCTGCAGCATTGAGAAAAAAATTTAACTAGTTGAATACAAATTCATCAGCACTATTTAATGGATTGAGAATGGAAATTGAAATTTTACACAGCTCTTCTTACACATTCACCAAAAACTTATCAATTGCTCTCGTTTCACGGCTTTACAACTGAATGAAATGATATTGTTTAATGATAAGGATATGAGGAGATGACCTCAAATTATTGCATATGTTCTCTCATGCGTGCATGCAAGAACTCAAGGCAGACTTGGTGCCCAATTTTCCCTGAATCTCAAATACTCTCATATCTCGAATTTCGTTACCTCGTCTCGTGCGAGGTTCAATTCACTCGTATCCCTCGCCTCGTAATCATAGAGTACTCGGGCTCGGTCTACCTCACTATCCACCTGCTCTGTAGTTTGGTGATCGACCGGGTGATACGAACTTCCTGTCAAACTGATAATTGAATCCACATGAATGATTGGGAGATTAGAACAATTCAGTGGTGGAGTTGCAAATCGCAAATTCAATTAGATTTTTTATATATAATTTTAGATATAATTGGAAATAAGAATCCTCAAGTGACTTCATGCTCGAATAATCGATTGAAATTAAAGTTGTTATTATTCTAAAAAAATATCTTTTAAATGAGTAATTCTAAAGGAAAATGTCATCAGATCTGTTTTCAGCTGATGAAATGCCTCACTAAAACGGCATTTTTGACATTTTCCTGTGAGACCACTCACTCCCAATATAAAAATCAAATGTTATTTGACGTTTTACCACTGCATGTCTGAATTGCAATAACCAAAAGAAATAAATTAGTAGTGAAATCAATGAAACGTGAAAAGAAGCACTACTATCACAATGAGACAGGAAGATAAGAATACATCCAGAATTTATCAACAAGAACAACAATTTTTTATTTGTAATGAAAAGTAGATCATTTTTATCACAAGACAATAATCGGCAAACAGCACTGATTTCCATACTCTCTAAATACCTTTCCCGATATTCTTCAGCACAAATACACCAAAAATTTCTCTCATAAAGCTCTAGAATAAGAGAACAAGTGGAAGATTGTCGAGAAATATCAATTCGACATTGGCCTATTCATATTGACAAATTTCCATTCTTATGAAAAACTAGTGTTCTACGATTTTTTTTAAGAAGAAAAAAAATTCAAGAGGAGGAGTGAACTAGAATGATTAAAGTATCATTATAATTTGATTTAATTCAATTGTAATTTGAAGAACACTAAAAGAGCTTCTGATAGAATCAACTTCAGAGTTGAGTAGATCAAAATTTTTTAAATCTATATTTTCGTTATGTTGGACTCGAACGTAGCACTAACGTAACTTGATTCAGTCAATTGCGGATGTATCGGAGAATTATGAGTCTCGGTCGATGTTGGGGTTAGCTCGGCGATCTCCTCACTGTTGACACGAAGCAATGGACTCGGTTGACGGGTCCTACAATACATTCAGCCCCAAGCCCCATGGAAAAAGAGAAACCCAAGCAAGAAATAGAGAATGAGAAGTTTTCAACAGTCTGCTATGATCTAGTCACTAATCATCAACAAGCAATTGATGCAGATATATGTGAACTTGAGAAAAAAAATTGAGTGGAATTTCCATGAGAATCGATTCATCACATATAAAAAATTCCACTCTCTTTTCTACATTCATTACAACCGATGCTCAAAGTCTGAAATTTGCTTCCCTTCTATATTATCAAGTTTCAATAGATGTGTAAAGCAGATTCATCAATGAGTAATGATGCTGTGTACGCTTTCAAAAAATAATGGTACATCAATCTACTTTAAGCCTTCACGTCAAGCATTCGTTTTGACATCGAATCAGAATTTTTAGTCTAGAGGTAATTTGTTCAGGTCTTTTTATGCATAACATCAGCAGACATTACTCACTCATATCACCATTCTATTGTAGGATAGCTATGCAAAAAACCAGAGACACATTTGTAAATTATGAAGCTAGGTGCAGTCCTACCACATGATAATATTTACAAATTTGTTGATTCAAGATTATGTACAGTAGCAATTGAACGATATCAAGGAGAAGAGAAATTGCCAATTGAAAATGTCTTCAAAGCTTTTTTATTACACAGTATTTTTCAGATATTACTCTACCACGTCATAACAATTGAAAAATTTCCCTTCATCCTGACGCAACAACTGCGGAATATTTTTTGACTCTACATACCCAGCTAATTCTCGTTGCAACTCTTGCATGGTGGCATGACATTGAGCATAGTGTCGAGCCTGTGCCTCGGCGAACTCGTGGAGACAACGTAGATGGCCAGCCTGAGAGCTCGATACACCCTCCAACAGCAGTTTAGTTATCTCCGATTGTCTATCGAATTCCGACTGGGCTATCCTCAACTCCCTCTCTGCCTGAGTATAAAAAACATACATAAAAACATTCGTGTTATTCTTGGGAACGATGGATTATCCATGACTTATCAACATCTAGACACATATCGACAGCTAAATTCTCATGAGTGCAACTCTTCTTTTTTTGACTCTGAAAATACCTGATCCAGCAACACTTCGGGTGATACTCCGGAATCCTATTAGTGTCGGAAATGCAGCAATGAGGGAGAGAAACCCAGTGATAATGTACGAAGACATTTAAAGCCACAAATATTTCACTTTTGAAGTGGTAAAACGTAACGCGCAAGAGTCAATTTTGTTAATTATCTCGGTATTTGTTGATTTTATGAAAAAATGTCTCACATTTTTTGTAAAAAATTTCTACAAAAAAGTACTTGAAAAAAACTCATTGAGATATACCATTTCATAATTGAACACTTCTCCACGAGTAAATGAAAATGAGAATTTGAAGAAACTTACACTCTGTTGTCCCAGCATGCTCCTAGCTTTCCTTACTCGGTTTTTACACGCATCCAAGTCGAGACTGCAGTTGACAAAAATAAAATGAAGATTAATGAAGATTCTTCTTGGATTATTATTGGCTGTAAGAATATAATGTTACCGTTTTGTTTCGAGTATTGCCATTTCTTTGCTTATCGTCTTCATCTCTCCATCGAGAAATTTACGGAGGGGTTGAATGTAACAATTGGCCGCTGTACCGATGAAGTCACGTTCTATCTGACCCAATTTCTGTTGACACTGTCCAACTTTTATGAGAGCCGCACCTAAATTCATGATTTATTGCAGTATTATCTGAAGCATTTCATTTAATTCTATTTTTTCCCAATTTTATCGTTTAGAGGGAATTGAGAAATCAGCAAAATTCCTCGACATGAAAATCCAATAGAATTTCCTCGCAAATTCGTCAGGTTTTTCAATGAATTTTTTTCTGTGAGTGGAGAAAATATGTTTAATATACCATATGCTATTCCTGGTCCAAATTCATTGCCAGCTTCGATCATGTCCACCCCAACGTACTCCAGGTTGCTTAATCTATTAGGCTTCTTCTTGTCGATTTTCTCGTAGAAAAAATCCTCGATTCTGTTTCCTGAGATCATTGACGTAAAAAATTGTTAGATTGACCGGGATAATCAGATTTTTCATGATGATGGAGAGAGGGGGGAGGGTGTGGATGAAAATACCTGGATTTGGTGTCAACATTGCCTCCATATTTCTCAATATTTTCTCCGTCCATGTCTTCGTCATGTTGGCCCTGTCGGCCAAGTGCTCGAAGTGTGCATCGAGTTCGGTTTTCTCGGAGGTTCCGAGGGTCTCCTCTGTGAGCTAAAATTAAGGTGATGAATCGTTTTCAATGAATATTTTGGCATCTAAGGCAGATATCAAAATTTTTCTGACTCTCTTTGAATTCATTAGTGAGAATAATTTTTATTCAAGATACCAAGATCCCTAGATTCATATTACTCCCATTACAATCATGACTAATAACAATTTAAATTCAACTCATTCAACGATGATTAATCTACCGGGACAACTGAATTAAATCCCACATATATTTTCCATATTAGTCACATCTCCCGTATTCACAACTATAATTAATAACTAATTTACCAAAATCAATAAAGAATGAAAGTACAAAAAATCCTTGAGACATGCTTTCACAATGAGGTGAGCGTTTTGTATTCTGGAGGCACGTCATTTCGGGTCTCAAAACAATAGATTCTTTCTCTCATCTCATTGCCCAATCGAGAGACCAATTTCACTATTCCCCCCGCAAATATGCTGCACAAAACGAGTACAAGTAATAAACAGCTCTCATTAAATCGTAAATACAAAGAGAAATTATTGATAGAGACTAATCGTAAACTGGGCAGTCGCAATTGGCATAGCTATGCACACACCCTCCTGGACTGAAAATCATACGTACGAAGGAGATAATTAAGATCCTGATGAGGAGGTTAAGATTACGGGGGTTACCTGGACCACACGGCTCAGCGCTGCACCAGCGTCTTTCACCAATTTCTTAACGTTAAAATCCATAATTCCAGGATTTATTTTCACTCGATTAAAAAAGAATAACGACTCAGGGTGATAATGTGCTTGATATTGACTTGAACTAATTGTGTTATATTTTTTCGAGCTGCCTTTATGACTGGACTTCTCTATCGATCTTGAAGATTGTTTCTGTCAACCAGCAGCTGGCGCTGATTGTATATACAGCGTACAGGGTTGGGTATCTGTCGATACCGTCGATAACCACATTTTTTACGTGGCATTGTAAAAAACCCGTATAGTACATTATGTCACCAGGCGATGATAGTATTTTCTGACCAATGTGGCTTTATAATCCGAGCCGAAAGTGAGGATTTTAATCACATGAGTCAGAGAATCATTTTATCGCCGTGTGACGTACAATGTTTTATGTTTCTAGGCCGGGAAACCGCGATTTAACCGAGGGAATCCATGTTAGAATTGCGGTTTTACGGTTCTAGAGACATTAAATAATAGTTTATCCCCGAAGTACTGAGATCCGCGTTCTAACCGAACAAAATGAAGTTAAAATTCGCGGCTTATCTGTCCTCGGGACATAATATACTATTTTTTATGATATTTATGAGTCTTCGTCAGTCGGAATAAAATAAAGCATTTTAGTAATCGAAAACTGCAAGTTTTTCGAAGTAATGTAAAAAATGTAAAAAACCCGGCGAGGTAATTTACGTAAATTACGTCGGTAAAGAACGGTATAATTTAACAATGTAATTTACACGCCCAACCCTGTATACAATGCGTGCTCTGTTTTTTAAATTCGGTTTCAGGAGCTTTAGGATTACGCAAGATTCGGTTGGTTCAATGATTTCTTTTTCTTGAGGGGGTCTGTGGAGGTGTTCATTCGTATTGGGAGCAGTGATGAAAATCTGTGATTTAGACCCCCCGTGAGAACTTGGGCTATAAATAATTGAGCTGAATTAGATAAAAAAGAATGCACCACAGGAAGTTCCACAATTTTTTTGGAAATTTACAGGTTTTTCCATAGAATAATGGAATAGAAAAAAATCTAAAAGATCTAATAGTTGCGGATTCTTTCAGCAATTCATTCACCACTTCCTGGAAAATTTTGTAGAATTGTCAAATTGTTTCAACTGCTAAATCCATCATTAATTTGGCACTTGAATAGTTGTTAGTACTGAATTACTTAGTGACTTAGTATTTAGTTAGTTTTAATTACCAAGTAATTCGAAAACTTTAACTTAATGGAGGACTAATTGCCAAGCATGCGCGTACTCAGTACTCTACTAAGAAATTTAAGTACTAATGTACTTATTAATGCCCATCACTGCTCGGGAACAAGTGGCTTATTCAGAAGACCGCATCAGAGGACTTTTCTACCAGCTGATTAAATTTCCGATGAAAAATCTTATCTCAAGTTTTCTTATAAAATTGGTAACTACGGAGATAATTATGAAAATTCACGAAGGGAATTTAAATTTCATTTTCATTTACCTGTACAACTCGGTTGAATGCAGTTCTAACGCCATCCTTGACTAGTTTCTTCACATTAAAATCCATGATTAAAAATTATAATGATTTCAATCCACGGATGAAGTGTTCACTTAAGCCCGGAACAATTCACTACAGAAATTTTGTCTTATCGATCAGTGCGCGGTTTCTAGGGGCGAAAATCATGGTAAGAACACCTCTGCGTCTGCGTATTCCACGGAGAGTCCGGTCCCGCAAAATCGTGACTGTGAATCGTGAATATTACCATGAAATTGGACAAAATCGAATTCAGTAGCGAAGCGGTAAAACGATTCAAATCGATGTAGACTATTATAAACAGTTTTCAATGAATATCTCGGAATCCACGAGAGATAGCAAAATTTTTGTTATAAGTTTTTTTGTAGCACTCGATTCGCTCTACAAAAAAGACCCATTTTGTCATTACAAAAATTTTACTATCTCCCTTACATTCGGAGATATTTCTCGAAAACTCAGCTAAGAGCCAAGTCGACTTTAATCGTTTTAAAAATAATTTTTCAATAGAAAAACAAAGCAATTGAAACTAGGTCCAGTCGAATAAAATAGAAGTATAAAATTCATTTTCTGCGCAATCATGACTGAATCGCTTTATTACTATAAAATTGGACAACAAATTAATAAAAAATCCTCACCTCTCGTTTTCTCTAATGGCTCATTCACCTTTATTTCTTTTTGCATTGTCAATTTAATCAATCAATTAACTCTGAAAATAAACAGTCAATCCTGGAATATTGGTCTCAATTGTTGAAGGACAGTCATTACAAAAATTCGAACGATAATTCTATTTTATTTGTAGCAGTAAATAACGTGACGCTGTTCTGATTTTTTTCAACTCAATAGAATGATTCTATTCTCATGTTCAATAACAGAAAAAATTTACACGCGTAATTAGAACTCCTATTAGTCCATAAATAAATCAAGAACGAATGGAGATTGGTCGCTCATTATCACCACTATAAATAATCATTCTGTTTAAATTTCCTAATTACACCTCTATTTGTAGAAAATATTTTCCAAGTTTCAGAAGACGGAGAAAGAAAGATTGTTCTTCTCCATGTACAATTTACAAAATTTCCCTCATACAAAAAACGATCGACGCAGTATAAAAAATGTACGACAAGAATTATGAACGATTAGATCTAGATATTGAATAAAAAAATCGTTGATAACCATCTGAAGAAATCAAAATTGAAGGAAAAAATGCAAAAGTGAAAAAGATATTCAATCATCATTCTTCAATAGAAAAATAAAACGATTAAAACAAGGTTCAGTCGAATTAAATAGAAGTATGAAATTAATTTGTTTTTATTTGGTATCAGACCATTGTGAGACCATTAGACGTCATTGAGACTTCATGGAGACGAGTTTTCTTGATCTGGCACGTGTTTCCGTTCGAATATTCGTGTATTCAAACCATAAGACATTTGGAATTAGAGTTGTATCACGTAGAAGCAAGTATTCAGATGTCTTCCTGTGAAAAATTGAAGTAATTAGCGTATTGTATCGATTCATCAGTGAATTGATGAAGCAATGAAATTAGAATGGACATTTTTATCATTTATCCCGAAAACAAGTGATTTTAGTGACAATAATCAAGCAGTTGATGCATTCAAATAGATTTCCAAACAAATGAAACTCCTCCACAACATGCGATCGCTAGACGATGTCCACACGCCTCAGATTCATGACAGCCCTTCAAATGGAGAATAATTTCTCCAGTTTATTCCCAAAAATTGTTGTTTCATTATGTTTATCATCTTTATTCAAATGGAAATTTTAACCATGTCATTTTGAAATGATTCAATATACAAAGATGAACTTTGTAAAGTCGTTATTTCCAACTCACCATGTCACGATAACAGGAAAATATGGTGTGAAGACTAGATGAGTTATGGAGAACCAAACAATCCCCATAGTAATACCGATCATCATTCCCCACAGGATTTGTGAAATAGTGTGATAATGCAGGTAAATTCTACTGTAGGTCACGAGTGATGCCATCGACAGACATCCCCCTATTATCGCCCATCTCCAAAGCTTCTCAGAGACTGTACTGTTGCTGTTATGATGCATCCTGTACCAAAAACCATTAATTTCACACTTACAATCGTGAAAAGACGTTCAAATGTTCCGCTGAATGTCAGTCATCACCTGATACACACAAACACTGTCGTATATGCAGCGAAAAACCACATGAACTGGGCATGTGCCGAGGGCATACCATATTCAACATATACCACATCTCGTCTCATTGGTCTTGCTTCTTTTATCGTGTGCTTCAGGATTAATCCAACGATGTCGTTAATTATAATACCGATGAAATAAAAAATCTGGAATTAATGGAAAATTTTTCAATGAGATAAAGTGAAGCGACATTGGCAGAGTGAAATTGGAGTGATCCTAGGTTTTTTCATTTATACATAATTTGTAGAAATTGCTGCGTGATATAAAATTTCATGGAAATATATTTTAGATTATGAGGATGGAAAAACAATCGAGATAACTTTCGAAAGATAATTCATTCCGGCTTTAAAGTTATTTTGTTATTAATTCAATTAATTTAATGGTAAAATCAATTTATTCAATTTAAAAAATCCACTGGTATTTTTATGTTCAGCAATTCTACTAAAATAAAAGCCATTGAATGAATATTTTTCCTTACTGTATGTAAATCCCTCCTGAATAGGATGAGGGTGATAAATCCCGCAATAATAGCGAATGGCATCAGACTTATAAGCGCCAAAAAAAACCCTACGAGGTCTCCTAAAAACCAAAAAAATACTGAAATGATGAATGAAACCCTGAAACCTGCGTTAAATTTCAAATGAAACCGTCTCAAGAATTCTGAAAAATTGAAGAGTCTGTGAGTGATCGAAACATTCTCAATATGCAATAACCAGCTTGTTCATACTCTCGGTAAATCCTAATAAATCTACAAAAACAATCGATGAAAGCACGAATTAATTAATGAATTAACAACCTTTGGGGTACTCGACAAGCGTCAGTGACAATGGTATCCATTTTGCATTGTCTATGTTATTGTTGATTATTAAATTCTCCTCAATACTGTCAATAAACTTGTCCTCGTGTGACGCCATATTGTGATGCGCGCCTACTGGTTAAAGCCTATATGCGCACGCGCATTACCTATACTCTCTATACTCCCACCACTCTCAAAGTGAGGCGAATTGAAGTGTCAGCCAGCGCTGCCGTATAGTAGCTCAGGTACTAAAGATGACGTCGTGCGCATGCGCGCCGCAGTGGGGGCCACGTACTCGGAAAATTGCCGTGGAAACATTCTCCGTCCCAAATTGTAAATAATAATTGAAAAAGGTAAAATTAGTATAGTATACTCAATCAATAAATTCCGATCAGTCTAGGTGTATTATAGTTTAATAAATACAAAAAAATTTCGAACGAATAAATTCAGTTGAATATTTATTTTGAGTTTCCCAATTTCCTGAATACATTAATTTCCTTAAAGTAGCTCATCAGTAGACTACAAGTTCATACTGACCACACTATAGATGTCGAGATTTTCAATTATTAAATTTTTCCATTAAATTAAGTGAGAAAATTTATAAAAAATTCATACACAATCAGCATCATTCAAATTACATTTTTCAACATATTATTTTCTTTTCAAACATCTCCGTTTTATAAATAAATAATGGATATTGTTTAAAAAACGGTCATTCATATTGTATCATGTGTCAAAAAATTTCTTGTTTTTTTTCATATTTTGAGTCAAAAATTTCGATTTCAATCTTGCTCTACACAAAGTTATGGACTTTGACATAGGACAGTGGGTTAAATCCTGATTTTTCAAAATTGATTTTTTGAAAAACCTAAAACGTCAATTAAATCCAGCAAAAAATTACGATTAAAAAAATCTAATAACATTCTTTGGCGATTCTTTGTAGCTTTTAAAAATTCAATTTTTTCAATTATTAACGATTAGACAATTCATTAATAATACAATATTAATAACAATTGTACTAATTTCGATATTCCTCCATGCTTCGGCTACCTTTCGCGTTTATAGACAATGTCAGTTTTCACTGATTATTAACAAAAGTTCGTCTGTTATTCTGGATGTCCTACACGGTAAAATATCCTATAATATTTCCCAATGCTCTCGGTAAATTTACCACTGCCCCACTACCTGCAGCTGACACGGACATGCGCACTAGAGAGAATCTTAGTTCGCTGACTACTATCCGGAGGCGCTGGGTACCTCTCTAATAAACTCACTGGCTGCCATAGGGATCGGCTATCCAGTTATATAGAGATCAGTGTTGTGGTAGAAGGATTGTGACATTTGCAAGGATTGTGTTGAGTAAAACAAATATTTCGTTTCTCACCTGAATACTACATCGCGTTCTAGCTGGCCGATATCCTTCCCCATAGAATTATAAATAAATATTTTCAATAAAATGATGTCTAGCTATGAGGGTTACAGGATTATGACATCACATGTCCTTATTGACTGATGAGAATTCATGGCCGCATAGTTTTCCCCGTATATAACTGATGACACAAAATAAACTCATAATTTTTCATTACAAAAAATTTATTACCGTAAAAGACGTATAAAAACACTTAATCACAACTTAACAATAGCCATATAATACTGATCGGTGGGCTGAAATAGTATAATGTTAAACTCATCCTAAACACAACTATCTCCACCCCCCTTTCTCCTCTCTTCCTCATCATGTTCAAAGGCTGGATTGTCGCTACCCCGCCTCAAGGACTTGTCCTGAATCCTCCCGAACTTTCCAACGAAGAAGACCTTAACATCACTGGCACAGGAATAATTGAAATTGAGGGAGAACCGCCTCTCAATCTCCTCCAAGCTGCGACCCCTCGTCTCCGGCAGGATGGTCAGTGAGAATATGGCGCCAAATATACTGGCAACCCCGAAGACCAACATGACCAGCTGTATCCCAATGAGATTATTGATCTCCGGATAGGTTTTGACAGCGGTAAATGTCATGATTTGAGCAATTCCCGTGGTGAGTCCCCCCATGACCCCTCTGAACCTCAAAGGATAGAGCTCAGATGTCATGACCCAGGGAAGGGTCAAGTAACCGATCATAGAGAAGCCAACATGGCTGCCAATGCAGATGATGGGTATCCATTTTGGAATAATTCCTGTGTGAATGACTCTTGCCGTTGATATAGTAACTGACAGTGCCGAGACGGCCATTCCAATGGCGCTCGTGCAGGCGAGAGTTGTGCGATCAAAATGGCCGGCGCAAATTGCCCCCAAAATGGCGGCAAGTAGCCGGACGACGCCGATGCCAACACTCACCGCGTACTCGTCAATATCACCACCGATATCTTTGAGAACATTGACAGTGTAGAACAGAATTATGTAGATTCCCGACATTTGCTGGAGAGCGAAGAACACGAAGAGTATGAGAAATGGCTTCCAGAGATTGGGATGCAAAATGGCCGCCGGTAAATTGACTTGTTCGTCCTTTCGATGTTCGACTGAGGCAACTCCGCAGAGCTCTCGGTACTCGTTGTCACAGACTATTCCGGGCCCTCGCAACCAGAGGAGGGACTCTTGGGCCTCGGGGAGGCGTCCTTTCCGGGCCAGCCAGGCTGGACTCTCCGGGATGAGGCGGGTTAGGCCTAGGGAGAGAATGGCTGGGGCTATGCTGATGGCTGCCGTGCACTGCCAGGTGGTCAGGGCACCTAGGGCGTAGCTGCAGAGAACACCCACGGAGACTAGGACAGGGCCGCAGGAGGCCAGCCAGGCCCGTTGACCTGGTGCTGCGATCTGAGAATAATTGAATTGAGCTTTTACAATTGGATGGGTTGAGTGGATGAAGAGAAATCTGCTGTTGGAATATCCATTATGAACATGAAAAATATCCTTCCTCAATGAAATCAATACTAATATATTGTATTCGAATAAGAAGTATTATTACTCTTTTCAATTATTGAATAACCGATATAATATGGTGTGTCAGGATTTGAATTTAATTTTCAGTTCCCTAAGGATTCCATTTTGTTTTTCATTTTGGCTTTGAATCCACAACCTTCAAATTACTGGACTGATACCCTTATTACCAATTAATTTCCAAATCCTGATGTTGGCAATAATTACCTCTGTGACGTATAGATAAAGCGCATTAGCCATTCCCGCGCCGATACCACTGATAAATCTTCCGATGTAGAGCATCGATATATTCGTTGACAGTGCTATGAACAACCATCCAGCTGCGTGAGGCAGTGTGGCCAGGGCTATAGTTGCTCTCCTCCCGAAACACTCGGCCGTCGAACCAGCGATGAGTGCACCAAGTGGGTTCGATATTACACCCAATGACGCTATCCATGACGCCTCGATTATACTTGTCAAATTTGATTCGAGTAATTTTGGTATCAACACAGCACTGAAACCTTGCGACAGTCCGAGGGATATCTGACCTGAATGCGCTGCTAAACTCGCTATCACCTAGATGAGATAAACATCCATTGTATTATTCATCGTGTGCAGGGTCAGATGTGTTTGGTGCGAAGGTGAGTACAAATTTAATTTGTCTGCGCATTCCTAGGGGGCGTGGATCAAGGGTCAAATGGGAGAGGCGAGGCGAACGACCTTAAGGGTCAAACGGAAGAATAAATCAGGTCCTTAGAGTTAGAGCAGAGTCGCTCACCTCTCACGCTTGACTCTTCTGATACTTTCGCTTGTCTCTCCCCATTAACTTGTCCTTATACAAATGAAAAAAAAAAAAGATTCCTAAAACGCGCAAATTGGTAGCAACTTACACCTCTGGCATCTGTAGACTTGAACGTTTTCCACCAGAATTTGAATTGATTCAACATTGCTTTCCCAATTGGCAGACCCTGCGGAAAAAATTAGAGGGAAGAAAATTAGCCTGATTCAATTATATTTACATAGGCATTAAGCAGTTGAATAGATAATCATTGGTGTTGTAAAGTGACATCAAATGCGAATCACACATCAACGCATCCGATCAAATGTTTCAATTGAATGATAGCGGCGATTACAGCAGGGCCTCAAACTGTTTAAGGGACGATGACTAACGGATTCAGGAGTCACGAGACAATATCACGTGTCTTACTTTGGCACTAACAACATTTCCGGTTGACAATGGGGGATTTGCAACAATTTTTTATTTGTCATTCGATTGTGATAATTGGGACACTCTTCATTAGTCTTTGGTTAGCGCGAGAAGGGATGGGTTTTAGGAGGAAATGTGACAAAAACTTTTTTGCAGCCGGCGAAATTTCCCACCAAAAATGTTCTCCAAGGTTTTTCGCTAGGGGCGTTAATTAACGTGATAATTAGACGAATTCATTGTCGAGTTGAATTTTCACTTGAATTTAATTTGACTAAAATGTATTTACGTTACATTCGGAATATCTGGAGAACGACTAGATGTAGAAGACAGCAACAAAAAAATTTTTTGTAGCTATTGAAATTTTCTACAAAAAATGTCTTAACATTTTCTCTTGAAACCACTTATTATCGAGATAATTGAATACTTTACATAGGGAAAATTCGAAAAATTAGGCGATTCCGTTACGTTCCACCACTTCACTATCAGCTCATCCCCAAAAGATTTCTCATTCATCACATGGAATAACAATATTTAAATAGATATACATACATAAAAAATGTAACACCACTCATAATCACCAATTTCGCAACATGATTCCATTGTAATTCGATCGTTTAACCGAGGTCAAATATTGTATATCCGTTTCGAATTGCCTATGAGCTCTGATATTCAGGGATAACATAATAGTAATGCAAACTACTTACCAGTGAGAACCTACTGGAGAATCCAAAAAATATTTGATATCACGATATCAAATATTTCGATATTTCTTCCTCTGTTCAATTTACCAAACTAGAAATTCTAAACTTCATTCACATTTCTATGACGATGTTATCCAATAGTTCGGATGATGAAAAAATAGCAATCACGTGTAGTGTATGAGTTTTCGAGTCTAACTGAGAAGAATCGCTGCAGGTCTGTGGACTTATATACACTCAGTGAGTTTCGTCGAGATGAAAAGGGAAGAGATGTAAAATGTTTGGCGCTGGTTTGCGAATTCGTGCAATAGGAAAACTCTTATTACAGGGAGGCGATGTTGGAAGTCATGATGATTTGTAGAAATAATTTCTTTATTTTTCATTTATTTAGTATTCTTGTTTTTCATTCTTCAGCTCGGCTATTTCATTACAGTCAAACTTTTAATTCCAGAAGTAATTTTTATGTGTTGTGGAGGTAAAATTGTTCAAGATAGTCTGAGCGATTTGATAAATTTTGGGAAAATAAAATCAATTATAAGATACTTTGTTACCAACAAAGTTGAGTAGAGCAAGAGGCTTGAGAGAATCAGATAATGTACAAGGCTTGAGGAAGAATTACAAAAAGACAAAAACGTTCCTGGAGTCTGGACAAATTTCAGCGTCAACCGTATCAATAATTAAAAAGGAAGGGTTTAGATTAATAACATCAAGTGCTGACGATTTCAATAGCTTCATTCACATTCTGATAATTCAAATTCAAATACGAATTGTGGCCTGATGAATGATTCCTTGCAGTAAAGAGATGATCTCAAAATGTTATTTCGAAAATTTTATATCCACCTTTAATCGCAGTTTCGTTGTTTCCACTTCGTACTTTGAACTCAGTAAAAATCCTTTGGGTGACAAACTTTTATAAGAATTGAGTAGTTGAGAATTATGTGGCAGTAGATTCAGTAACCAAGTGGTTAGCCGTGATACAGTTCGTCCTGAGAAGACAAGATTTTAGGAAAAAATATCAAAGATCATTTAATCTAGAAAGTTAGTGGTGATTTTGTCATCTAATTTTTCAGGTCTAGATGTTATTCTCCATAGAATTGCCTAGCGAATTTGCTAGATTTTTCTATGAACTTTTTTCATACATTCTCTTTGCACAAGTTAAACCTCCCCCAGCGATTCTCAAAAACAACTTCAACGAGTCACATAACGTACACAACATTTCCAAGACATCATTACTAAATGATTTCCATCGCCCTCTCCCCTTCCCCGGCAGTCTCTCATTATTACTGATATGACTGCTAATTCCCATCACGATCATGACCATTGTTTACCCGGATCTCTCCTTCTGAAGGATTGACTCCCTGATGAAAAAAATAAAAGAAAAAAATCCAGGATCTGTTCCTTGTTATTTTCTCCGATATTAAAATACCGTTGAGGCGGAACAGTTTCGCGATCGCCCCGGGGTAAAAAGATTCTAACGACGTGTTGATCGGTTGCTGCCCTCTATCATTTTTTTTAATCTCGTAATCCTCTCCTTGCCATTCGGCGATGACTGAATCAACCTTCAATGAAAGTTATTCCCCAGCCAAGGATCCCTGAAACGGATTAGTAGAACGGAAGATATTCTTTATGATGCTTGATTCGTTTCCGGAATGTCAAATTTATCGAGCCTGTCGGGATTTATCCTTCGAATGGTAATTTATTTTCGCAATCAGAGATTATGAAATTGGAATGAAACATGACTTTGCTTTTAATAGAAGTGAAAATTCATTTTTTTTATTCATTTTATTGAAATTTTTGCACTAAGAAATTTAAACAAATAATGAATTCATGAATATGAAATTAATTAATTAATTAATAATACTTAAAATTCAATTGAAATGAAGAATAATATTTGCTTTGATTCCCTCATTTTTTCATTTTTTAAAAATTTCTGTTCAACAAAGTTATGTTAACTGAACGAAGACTTTTAATTTTAAAAAATATTATAAATAAAAGTTGTCAAAAAATTGAAAAAAATATTCATCGCTCAGATTACATTGGCTTGCCTCATTCGTCTCCTGTGTTACGATTTAGCGAACCGTGAGCATTGAATAAGTGGATTCTATTTTCCTGCTTGTGTATGGAAAATTCTAGGGAGATTTGTACAATAAGAAACAGCCAGCACGCTGAAAAAAACCCGCAAAGGAGGAGCGGCGAGGCGAGGGGGAGATTAATTCAGAATGAACAGTGGAAGGAAACTTCCTCAATTTCCGTTTTGCCTGTTTTGCATCATTTTTTTGCTTTTCCGGCTCGAATATTAGGAAAGGTATTGAATTTTTATGTCTAAATGGAAAATCCATTTCGAGAAATGACGAGCATTGTTTTTTCTTGGTCTTTATCGTATTCAAATTGTATTGACATTCTTCAAGGTTCATCACTATCTTGTGATCTAATGGGACGATTAGAATGATTCTATTCAGGAATTCCTATACAAATTCCTCGGCTACAATTTTATATTTTTTGTTTGTTTTTTTTTTAATGAAAAGAAAAGAAAAATAGAGTATTATACTCTTCCATAAAAAAAATCAGGAGAATTCCATGTTTCTATACAACTTATTCTATTGAAATATTTTCTATAGGAATTCCTCAATAGGAATTTTCAGAGTTTTTTTCACGCCATTCTTCTTCCCTCTTCATTGAACAAATCACAGAAAAGAACTTGGAAAATTTCAGCCGAGGAATTTCTACAGAAAATTTCTCAACAGCAAATGCTGTATAGAAACACGAACTAAATTCGGGAAAGAAAATTTGCACTCATCCAATCAAATAATTGATTAGTTTGCCAATCCTTCCAGAGGTTTCCACACTTAATCCTCCCCCCAACAAATAACGAGATTATTTTTTTCCTCAAGATAAATTGATGGAAGTCTCCAGAGACAATTGAAAAATATTTTTTTTCCACTCAATCTGAATGAAGTGGGGATATTTTTCCGATTGTCCTTGTTAAAATAATTTCAAACTGTACGTGAAGTGCATCATGAGAACCGGGAGAGGGGGCGGGCCGACGGGCGGACGAGAGGAAGACAAATGCAATCTCTGCTTCCGATTGGCATGGCAATTAATTGCCATACCAATCGCTTCAACTGATAAGAGTCGTCGGACGATAATGGTTGCATCATAATTACACGTTTGTTGTTACCTCAGTCAACAAGAGTCAGGGGGAAGGACGTTTGCTGCACTCTGATTCGTCATCGTCGATGAAAATTAATTTTTTTTCAGCAATTTTATTGATTATACAATCAATGAAAAAATCGTAATTTATTGATCAACGATTTGCGTCAGTATTTTCGACTCCGGTGGCTGTTCATGATTGAGGAACAGGTGATAAACTAGTTTTGCTCATCAATATTAAAGGAAGTCTGGTGGAATTGGTTCAAAGTCAGGATTTTTTCATTTAAGCTTATGCTTCTAGTTGTTTCTGGTTTTCAAAGTAATTTTTTTTGTCATTCCGGCCGTAAGGCAGCGTTTCACGGATCTCTGCCTATGGCCGTTATGACAAAAAATATTGTTCGTCATACGGCCAAAAAAATTTTTTCTGACGAATATGATTGCAGCCAAAAGTTTTTTTCGGCCTAATGACGAAATATACTAATTACTAATCATTCCCTTTGCACTCGTAAAATAATGAAGCATAATTTTTCGATGAAATCAGGTGAATCATTAGCTTGCATAAAAACTTATTTACAAATAAGTGAAGAGTCTATTGCATTAGTAACGTAACGATAAAATAATCATAGTGATAGCTGATTGATGTAAAGCATTGAATTACGCAATTTTACGTGGTTTATGAAGAACCTTGGCAATGACCACTGCCGGCATTCAGAGGTTGTTGTTACGTTGTTCTTCTAACGCGTCTAACTCTCGTGTCGTTAGCTCTATCGCACGCAGGACATTAGAATAGTTTTATCTGTCTATCGGGTGAATCAGTGAGGATGCGGTAGAGAAAGACGGGGTAATGACGGGTAATTATCCGCGATGAGATGAGAATTCATATTTAATTCACAACTAAATTCGCGGTAATTTCGTAAAAACGGGGAATTTTATTTAATTTTTGTATTTTACAATACATTTTTTTTACGGAGCATGTGAGAGGTGTTATTAGGTTTCGATATATCGTATTTGGAGACTCCTTCGTAATTTGCTGAAGATACGCGGAAAATTTTTAATTGCTCTGTTGTTTACATATCTAATTTAGAAAATTGTCAAGCAATTTTTTTACGAGGGAAAAAATACTTTTTTTTTAACATCCTCTTCTCATTAATGAATAATTAAAACTTTTCGAATTTTTTCTAGTTTTGTAATTTCGCCTGTAATTTTCAAAAATTGCAGAGTTGAAAAAATTATGTTTTTGTTTTCCATCAAAATATCTGAAGAACGAGTGATTTTACGTAAAAATGTCACAAACCTTTTTTGTAGCTGACAAAATTTCCAACAAAAAAACTCTTTTGATATTTTCTCCCAAAATTATTCATCAATGAGATAATTCAAGAACAATCCAAATGGAAAAATGCACTCGTTCCATTTTCACTCAATTCAATTTCCGGCAATTCCCGATGAATTTCGGGAGACACTCGTGGGATTCTACACGTGGGGAGAGACACCCTCATCTCCCGCACAATGGCGCTGTTCGCTCGTGCAACAGCGAATAAATCATTATTCAGGATAAACTTTTGTTCTAATTTGTCATCTCATCAGTGTAGACTGCCAAAATCGTCATCACTCTTGGACAATTCGAGTTTTTTTGGGGAATGTCGGAGGATAACAACCAGTAGTGTTCGAACGATCATTCCAACCTCAAAATTTTGTGGTAAACAAGGTATTTATCATCGCATTCTCTCCTATTTACTTATTTTATTAATCATTAGGGACTAATGTTTCCGGGGAATTTCAAATCTTTTCAGTAGAAAACAATCAATAAATGAATGTTTCAATGTATTTTGTCACCACAAAGGGCTGCTTTCACCTTCCAACCGGCCCGAGCCTTCGATAAAGACTCGAAACGAATGTTGAAATTTCTTCATTGTTGTTTTGCAATAGATTCATGCATTTCTTTCAATTTAGAAAATTAATTAACGCAAGGAATTGATCATTGAAAAACGAGCACAATTTTCTAATTATCTTGATAATTACTAATTCTAGGAGAAATTTTTTCGTGGAAAATTTTCTCATCTGCAAAAAAGTCATTTTCAGTTTCTTCTAAATTCACTAATTCTCGAGATATTTTGGATCTGAGAAAGATCAATGTATCTTCTCAAAAATCAAACTTGGTAATAAATTAATCCAGTCATCCCCGTGTATGTTCATGAACATGCATGTTCTTGGAGCAAATCCCAAGAGACATTTGCCCTGGAATCATTCGTCGATAAATGCCTCCAGGGTTAAATTTTTTAATTATTCCCATTGTGACATTGATCACGAGATAATTAATAGTGAGGATCTTTCCAAGGTGAAGAGGGGAGCGGCGATGACCTAGAGCCATCGGTCGAAGTATTCGATAAATTCTTGTGGACTCGTAGGAGAGAATCCAAGAGGACTGTCATCATCCAAGTACAATCACCAAATTCTTACAATGACTTGTACTCGTACTGCGTTGAATTTGGGCCCATCAACAGCATGCACCACTATATTGTTTCTAAAAATATAGTGAGTATCTTCTACTTCGAATAGACGAACAAATTTCAATGAAAAACCTAGCGAATTCTACAGATAATTCTGTTGGATTTTCACTGAACTTCTACTGAAAATTTTTCTAGTGAATTTTTCATCCAATTAAGGTAAATGTACCTATGCCCGTCTTTGTCCCTACGCTCGTTCAGATCCTGCCAGCTATGATATTTCAATCATTTTCATAGTCCCAAGGGTCTATTAAGAGTGAAGTACGATTGGAGTTATTATTTTAGTTAATGAGAAAAGTTATAGACACCAATGCAGAGTGATTTATTGAATAATAAGAGAGAAAAATCACATTCACATCAACTCGTGCTACGACAGAGTTAATTCTTAAGCCACAAGTTAAGAAACTCGCAATTTTAAAACATTGATATCTCCGTTGCAATAGTAAAATGGAATTAAAAATCCCTTGGCTAAGGTTTCGAATAGTTGAAAATTTAATAAAAATGCATAAATTATAGTAATATCCGGATATTTCTCTGAAATATTGCCAATTAAAAGAATAGGCACAATGAAAATGGCATCGATCCTACGCTCGTTTTGCACCCAACTGTCAACTGGTAACGGACTAAACGGATGAAAAAATCATTTAAAAGGTTGGACTGTCCAATGAAAATATAATTTTGTGCATCGAGATTTTTTTAAATGTTGTTTTATCACAAAATCAACATGCGATGTAATTAGTTCGGATATAACCTTTCCATATCACTCAAATCACGAGACGAGAATAGGGACATGTGTCAAACGAGCATGGGGACACCTGAACGAGTGTAGGGACATGGGACTGTTCACATTCATCGACGATTATTTATTCAAAAATAGTAATTATCATAATTAATATAAATAAATTCCAATTCTGAAGGTCGCATCTTCACGCTCATTTCGATAGAAATACTGGACTAATAATGTGTTCACCTTAGCTAGACGAGCGTAGGGTCATTTACCTTATATGATTCAAAATCTACAAATGGAATGAAATGTAAACAAAAACTGAAGAAAATATGATTTAAACACAAAACATTAACTACAAGTATTTTCCAGCATTTTTTTCTAGTCGAATTCAAAGACCTTGAGAGTCACAAGGCAGTATTGGCTGCTGCCACACACATCAACCATCAAGACTCCATTCCTACGTATTCCTACATGCTCTGGTTCAGAAATGTCCCGAGAAAATCCAAGAAAGAGACGGTTGATATACCACCACCGGTTGTTGCCACTGGAGACAGACCCAGTGAGGAGAAAATACATCAAGAGCTCATGTCCGCACATTCTGTAAGTCAAATTAAGTTCTAATTCTCACCCATTTTTCATATTCAGTAATAGGAAAAATCAGTATGAAACCCTGAATAAATCGAGAATGGTTGCACGTCTACAAATAATTACAACTTATGGAACGAACGTATATTGATCGCTCATTATCATAACGACGAGTTTTCTTAATCTGGCTCGTGTTTCCGACCGAATATTCGTGTAGGATGGACATTTTCATTCCATAACTGCCCAATTATTTCGGAAACAAGTGGTTTTAGAAGTGTTATTGGGACAATAATCAAGCAGTTGATGCATTCAAATAGATTTCCAAACAAATGGAACTCCTTCACAACATGTGGCAGCTAGACGATGTCTCCACACGCCTCAGATTCATGACAGCCCTCCAAATGGAGATCAGTTTCTCTAGTTTATTCCCAAACACAATTGTCCTGCCATTTGGGTCATCTGTCAATGGATTCGGAAAAAGTGGCTGTGATCTGGATTTAGTTATGACCCTAGACAGTGAAAAACAAGAGAAAATAGCTAGTAGATTTGTCTTTCAAACGAAATCATCTCTCCCTGATGAAAGAGCACAGACGCAAAAATCAATGGAAGTCATCTCCAACGTTATGCAGTACTTCATACCTGGTATCAGGAATGTCAGGAGGATTTTGCATGCGAGGGTGCCAATTATAAAATATGATCATAGTTTAACAGGTCTAGAGTGCGACCTCAGCATGACGAACATGTGAGTTATCGCATAATTCGTTAAAAATAAAATTACGAGAAGAAACAAACCGCCTTTAATCTTCAATAACTCGAGAACTGCAGATATGAAATTTCCCTACTTTTTTTTTACTTTCAAGATATTTTTTCAATCTTCAAAATGAGATGTGACTCATCTGAATCGTATCATTTGCCTCGGCGATATTGACCATTGAAGACGGTACAACAGACACACCTTAATGAATAGAATGAGAGTTATGAGAGTCATCGATTCTAGGTCTGCTGTCTACATGTCAGAACTGTTGTATATTTTCGGAGAACATGATGTCCGAGTAAGGCCCTTAGTATTCACCATAAGACAGTGGGCGACTTCAGTGGGAATCACCAATGTCAATCCTGGGGGGTGGATCACAAATTTTTCTCTCACATTACTAGTTATGTTCTTCCTTCAGCATAAGAAGATACTGCCTTCTATAAATACGATGAGGAATCTTGCGAGTGAGTACAACTGATAGGAGACTTCATTATTTATGATGAGTTTATTATTTTCACTACTCCATTGTTATTTCAGGGTCTTCAGATGTTCGTCTGACCGAGACCTGTATCGATTGTACATTTATAAGAGATCCAAAGATGATTCCATCAGTCAACTCGGAGGACTCTCTCGAGTCGTTATTGTGTGATTTTTATAACTTTTATGCGGTTTTCGATTTCTCAACGAAGGCAATATGCCTTGGAGAGGGCACGAGTCTGTACAAACCGGATACATCTCCATTATTCATCTGTAATCCGTTGGAGAAGGCTCTGAATGTCAGTAAAAACGTGACTCCTCCGGAAGTCATGAGGTTCATAAATGCTGTGAAGAATGCTGCGATGCTGTTTGAAGAGGGATTCGAGGGAAATAACAGGGGAATTCTGGACATTTTCGCGGAGAAACGACCGCAGAAGAAGTACTCCATCCTGGGGAGGGGTAATAATAATAATAATAATAATAAAAAAGTGAGAATCGCTGAGTTATTTCGGGATGAAAGTGTTGACAAATTAAATGATGAAATGCCGAGGAGTAATCAGTGGAAGAAGGAGAGGGCGAGACGCAGGTGACTGGATCCGAAAAATATCAAATGATAATTTATTATTTTATGTAAGTGAATTATCACGGGAGGATTCTGTGAGTTTTGTAAATAAATTCGATACGTTTAATTACTTACTAAAGTTGTTGTAATGAAATTGTAATACCCAGATGAAATTTCAACTCACAGCCTTCAGATTACTGGACTAATACTCTTACCAATTGAATTATGTGTAAACAGCATTTTGTTTACAAAGAAATTTTGCACTGCAGCTTGGAGTATTTCGACGGCGCAATTTTCGTTCGTTTTATTTTTTATTAAACTTTCCAGGAATTACTCTATTACTCTACACATGAGAAACAAGGTGCATGGTTCAATATTTTTATTTCCATCCCATAATAATATTCCAACAATACCATCATCGATTTTATAGTTCTTCAATATTACGTATCTTATCATTTTTCTCCATCAAGTGCTTAAACCACAGTATATATATATATATAATAACGTACAATGAGCATTAGCAACGTGATACCACACGTTGGGAAATATTCAATTCAATTTGTCGTCCATTCATTAAAACGTAATTGCCCATACGTCTGTCGGCGTGGCTATTAGGCTCAAATATCCAGACACAGATGAGTATGAACTCAGGACCACATCCCTTAATACCAATTTAAATATAGATTCTTCGATAATAACGGTCGTTCAATGTTTATCATTATTTTGGATCTATTTTCCATTGATTCAATTAATTTAAATTCGTTATTTACCGTTGTTGGCAGTGTCAATTTACTAGCTCATAATCATCTTTCCTTCGTCTCGTAATTAATCTCATAATAAACGGCCATTTTTGTTTCTGTTTGATTAACGTTTCGATTTAATCCATCAAGTTAACTACATTTTTTTTCTTTATACTAGCTTTTCTATAATGAATAACTATTGGAAGGCTCTAAGTGCTTCATCAATCTTCACGACGAATTCCTTCGTATTTTTCATCCTCAATGGGCAGCATTTTTTTTTTACATGGATTGGAACATAATTTATCATTCCGATTTATTACAGCAGGAATGTGATGTGATAAAAAGAGAGGACAAAGTGATTCCAGAGGTAAAGGCCAATTTTTGGACAAATCATCTTAAACAGATGAGGCGATGAGAAAGCTCTAATGAAAATGATGAAATAAACAATCAACAAACTCAATTTGTTTTGCTTTTACGATGATGCCTATGGTGATGTGCATGATGATGCCTCTGAACCCTGGTCTCTTGTACCGCAGCAACGAGAGTCCTAACAGCCTCCTCGTGGCCCTCGAAGCTGTCAGCTTTCTTCAATGGTCCAAGACCAGTTGCACTGGCTTCGGCAGCAGCAACAGCTGCTGACGATCTTTTGCTCTTGGGACGGGGAAATGTCTCCCAAGACCGTTGTTTCTGTACAAGACTAGCTGTTGACTTGGACTTGGGTGTTGGTCCGATCAATACAAGCAATGTTTTCCTAGTGTCTTGGCTCATTGGTCCACCAATTGTTCCCTCAGCAATGCTCGATCTTCTGCTGTTGCCAGAGCCTGTTGTTGAGAGACTGTCACAACTAGCTCGTCTCCTTCGTCTTCCATCCGATGACGCAGACTTATCACCACTATAAAAAACATCCTCAGAGTCACTGGCCGGATAAACCTTGACTGATTTTTGAATGGATGTCGACGAACTCGTTGGCAATGTCTGGGATTTCGATTGTTGAGACTGAAGTTTCGGTTCTTCTTGTGGCACAGCGTGAATCTGGGCCTGTACCCTTGATTTTTTAGCTTCACCGAGAGTCGAAGCCTCCGATATTCGTTGGTACTCACTTTCTTCCGCAGCACCTTGAAGATAAAGCCCAATCATCAGTGAATTATACTCCTTGCTAATATTTAGTCATAGTCATAGACACTACCATGTCAAATATCATGCAATTCACCTGTCGAATGGGCTTGCTGTTGTTGATGAGAATCAGCCATTTTGTCGCCGTGATCTATGATGTCGCCACAGGTGTCCTTTAACGTTCTGTATAAAGACCTCACCTTGCTACTTGATGCCTGGCCAGGTGGTGTCTTGGGTTTAGCCTGGTCAGGTGACTTTCTTGATCGTCTCGTTTGACTCCTGTCGCGACCACCGTCCTCCCGACCCGGTGACTTCTTCCTATCCTCCCTCGTCCGTGCTTTCTCGATCAATTGACTCAATACACCGCGCTTCGCTTCTGATGATTTGGCAGTGCCGTAGACAATTATATTACCTCCAGAGTCCAGGAGGGCTCCAACACCACCTGATGGTGTACGACTTCTTGCTGGCGGCACCTCTTTGGATTCTGAAAAATTATCACTGCGATGACAACACGCACGAAATAAAATTAAAAAAGAAAAAATTAATAAAAAAGAGTAGTGAATTTGATGGAAAATCAGGAGATTTTCTTCTTTTTATGCAACTTTTTCTACAGGAGTCTCTCCTTTGATGATGAAAAAAATGAATGTGAAAATTCCTCCGTTCAAATAGGAAATATCTCCGACTTCCAAGTAGTTGTCAAACCTTTCACATAGAGAATATTGTCAGCAACTCCTCCAGTCTTGCCATGCCTGCAATCCTTGGTCGGCACCGATCCCTGTCCCTGTGGGTCTTGCATCTGCATCCTCGTGAAGTGATCCAACAACGCCTGGAGATGTTGATGGCCAGCAGCATCGGCAGCAGCCGAGCTCATCTCTCCGGCCGTTATTCCCGCTGAAAAGGACTTGACAAAGGGCTCCAACTGCTGCGTAAGACTCTGCAGCTGCTTCACCTCCCCCCTCAGCGTAAGAATATCATTCATCTGCGAATGGAAAATCTCCTTCTCGATATGAATTTTGCAGAGCTGCTCCTCCCACAGTGCATCGAAGATATTCCTCAGTCTCTCGAGCTCGATCTGGTGGTGCTCCAGCTGCTGCTCAAGCAGCCGACAGTCCCTCGTCACATGCTCGTACCTAGAGCCCAACGGCGGAGTGTTTGCCCTCCTCAACATGGCGACATCCCTGTGCAATTCCCCCAGTCTCTCCTTAACGGTGATCAACTGTTGACTCAGATCCTTCAGTTGAGAGTCGAAGTTGCGGCAGTGGCTGGAGAAGGGGCCACTGTCGGGTCCCCCCGATTTTTGGCTCCTGGGGGGTGTCTTCGAGCTCTGGAGCAAGTGGCCCTGGTCATTGTGATTGGTGCCGTGTGTGTGAGAGTCATAGAGAGAGTCCTTGTGCCCCTGTGATTGGGCCAGAAAAGACTGCAGTGACCTTGCGAATTCGGCGCGATAATTCATCTTGAGGTGGGCTGATATGAGTGAGGGTCTGGACGGATGGCCCAACTGTGCCACTCTCCCCAGCCTCTCCAGCATCGGGTGGGCTAGCTCGAGAAATTGGTACTTGGTGGCACCACTGGTGAAGACAGTGCACAGCATCAGGTGCATTTGCAGGACTGGCAAGGCTGATCCTAGATTTATCAGTTGGGATCTCACCATGCGGTCTTTACTCTCGAATTGCCGTTGGAGCTCGGAGATTATCGACGAGTGACTTTTGCCGATTGTCTCCTGCATCACCTGGCAGTAGGCGTTCAACGATCGCTTCTCGCTTTCAAGGCTGTGCTTGAGTTCGTCAAGCTGAGATTTTAGGGCTAGTACACCGTCACGCACACCAGCTTGAATCTCGCAGATGGAGTTGGCGGCTTTCTCCATCTTCTTGGAGGCCTGCTGCCAAGCTGTGTCGATGTCCACGCAGTGCATCCTGGCGTCTGCTGGGGTGTCGCGGAAGCAAGTGGCGCACAGCATGGATTTTGTACTCTGGCTGTACATTATGTAGAGTTCTCCGTGGGTGGCGCAGCGACGCTGAGTGTCTTTGGAGCATTTGCTCATGTGAATTACCTCGTGGGTGGAGAACATCTTGGCCCGGTGGGTGTGCTCTCGACAGTGGGTACAGAGGGCCTGGCCTGAAATCAAACACTAGCCATTTTAATTCCCCGCTATTTGCTATCTCTTGGAGTCTATGTTGAAATGGATAAAAAATTTATTAATTTAGATTGACTTTGACTCAATTTACTGTTTTGCTGTTACAATTTATTTTCATATTCCATCAGTCTCAACTAACTCGAGAGTTAGTAAAGTTAAATTCAACGTATTCTCCTTCCTTTATCTTGAAAATGAGACTAAAATCATTCGAATTCTATTGTTTAGTGGCCAGATAAATTTCAAGAGGTCCTTTCGCTTTTCACTCTATTGCTCTATTACTCCTCCACCACTAAATGCATTTCCCATTGTCAACTTCTTCGTGTATTCATTCAAGTTCCCATTGTTTTGTACCTAACAAAAACTCACCACAAGTAGTGCAAAAAAACATTGTCGTTTTGTCTCTTTTGTCGCAATTTGCGCACGCTGGGTTCTCCGAGTTTGCTATCTCAATCAATTGTCGCATCAATTGGTCGGCGGGTGGCAGCTGGCTGCCTTCCTTGAGCTGTGTCATTTGTCTAGGAATTCCACCCACATTCCAGCGCAGCACGAAGTCAAATGGAAAATACAGCATGACATTTCAAAAAATTCTGGTGAATAAATTAATCTCAAAGAGCTTTGATTGTTCAATATTTTCTGCAGAAATTCTTCGATTCAAATTTTCAAAGCTTTCCTATTTGACTTGTCTAATGAAAAGAGAGGAAAAATAAAACTAGGTACTACTTTTTTCTATAAAATAGTTTCTACCGACCGTTTTCTCTAAAAAAAAAATCGTGCAGTGAAGCTGTGGAATCCTTCAATAAAATAATTTAAAAAAAAATAGATTTTCCAATAGAAATTAAACGGAATTTTCTATCGAATTCGCTAGATTTTTAGAAATTAAATAATTTCATGTCTGAAAGCTCAGAGATAAAATCCTCACCCGCATATGGGACAAGTGATCTTGCCATCAATCTGCGTATTCCTCAGACATCTCGCACAAAAAGTATGAAAACAAGACAGCAGACAGGGCTCGGTGTAATAATCCTGACAAACTCCGCAGATCAATGGGTTTCTCATTCCTGAAGTTCCATCGCCGTCTACCCCGTCGCCAGTCGCACCTGTCCCTGCGCTCGCCATCCTGTAACTTCTCTATTCACTGTCAATTCATTTCACAATCTGCAATCATCAAAAAATTCATTTGGAAATATCTCACGATGAAAAAAGACAATGAAGAAAATGTCAAATCGCAGAGTAGAAAAAATAAAATTGAAAAAACGAGATGAATTGATGATTCTTCTTCATCCTCTCTTCTTGTTCTACGTACCCTTGTCACCCCCCACAGACACCTCCACCCCCACCACCACCCCCACCGGATTATTTGATTAATTAATTGTTTATCGTTTCATCGTGGAACGAGTCACAAGCCAAAGTCGCCCGACCACTTCGAGGGCTTTTCCACTTGCGTGCAGCTTGGGTGGGCTGGCTCTAAGGATCTCGTTTTCAGGGGTAGGTTTTACGCATGTGCCAAGTGGTGAGAATAGTCGAGGTAAAATACGTCACAGTGTACTGCAACCAATGGCAGTGGATCCTGCGGTTTTCTAGCCATGTTGGGTTGGATTTTTTTTCTATTCTCCGCATAATACTTCTTTCCCCCTTTTCTTTGAGTCTATCGGGGTGCAGGGGAGAGAGGGCATGCGATGACGTTATGCATGACCTGGGGAATGGGTCAATGGATGTAAACATTTACCGAATTGAAAGGAGCATAATAACGTTTATGAAAACATTCCTGGAGGCGGATTTTCCTTTTTTTCGAGGGATCTCTTTTGAAAATTCCAGAGCATTCAGTTTTTAGTTTTATCTTGTTGAGTTTTTTTAATAGAAAGGTTCGGGGGGCTCGGAAGTAAATAAAGAAGTAATAAAATGCGAGGAAAACTCTGCGCCATGAATTCTCAGTGAAAAGGGGATGGAAAAATATAAAAGTTGGCTGAAAACGATAGTTCATTCTGTTGAAACCGGATGAAGCGAGTTCAGGGTGATCCAAAGACGAGAAATAATTTTAATAAATTTCTGAAAATTCGAGGTGGGGGTGCCGCCATCTTTGAAGCTCCTTACTCGACGAAAGGGGGTATCCAAGCAAGATGGCGGCCTCCATACCTGGCTACCACTTCGTATTTTCTCAACACTTATTGAAATTATTAATCACTTTAATTTATTTCTATTTTCATTTTATTTCTCGTTTTCTCTGCATTTCAGTGATCTCTTAATTCCGTTGTTGATTTAAAGATAAACCTTTAACCAAAATTTCAATCTGTCGAGGTTTTATATAAAATTCATCTATTGAAAAAAATAATACGAATCATCAATCTAAAGAAAAGGGAATAAATAATAATCCGTCAATCAGCATCTTTCCGTTCTTTTTAATTTCAGATGTAATGAAATTATCTTGTTTACTTTTCATCCGAAATTAATGACGAATATAATCTCAGGGTTTTGTTAATTTTGTTCCAAGTAGATTTTATTCAATTTTTAATTCAGTTTTTATGGTGTTGGATTCGAAATTTCCCGGGCATTTTAGTACCCGATGATTGGCGCTACGGACCATTTGTTTGTATTCACCCGTTTCTCAGGGAAAATTGTACATATGAATGAAGAAGAATCCACGAAATTATTGAAATAGGGTGATTTATTGGGTTGTGAAAAATGCCTTCACGAAGCGATGACATCCTCAAAGGCTTCCAAGTGTATCCTTTTTTCAAAAATGATTCCAAAGCGTTCGATTCTGTTGTTCTAGTGTAATAATCGATTCCAAGTGTCATTTGTTGGATGGAATAGCTCTGGCTGAAGGAAATTAGTGGAAAAAAACGAGATAATTGCAGGTTTTCCTTAATTTTTTACATGTTTTTTAATCAGTAATTGGATGAATCTGCGGGATGCCGACAATGGAAAAATTTTGTGGCAGGGGAACGAAGATTTGTGAGTACGATAATGCACTTAACCTGTTCATGAGCAGTCAGAGGGATTGTTTTTCACTGGCACTATTTTATTTTATTTGTTGATGTATTTATCTTGATGCACGAGGGATTTTACAAGGAAATTTCAAAAACTTTTTAATTTTTGGAGGTAATATCAAGACGTGCGGAATATCTTGACATTTCCTTCAGGGATCGATAATTAAAGGGATAATCTGATGAATTTATTGTGAAGCAGAATTTTAATGAGGGATCCATTGATTTTTATTTGAGATTTAGTGGAAAATTTCAGACTTTTTCTGTGAAGACAATTATGGAGATTTAAACTGATTAAACATTTTCAAGGTATTCTTTGACGCTTCAAGATGAGACCTGATTTATCCCAATCGCACATTTTTCTCAAGAGATTTTAATTATTAAGGAAGTCTATTCAACTTCGCCATTCACAACGTCATCCTCGTTGACTAATTCTTCCAATTTCATATTTTATTGTCTCATTAGATCAATTCCAGATGTAGAGCATGAAGCTAGAGTACCAAAGAAAATCCTCAGATGTCGTGAAGTATCACGAGAGATAAACTTCAGTTCCGTGGAGCCATTGGAGAGATTCAGACTGGAGCAGAAAGTCTTGTTCAAGGGACGATGCCTGGAGGAGTGGTTTTTCGAGTTTGGTTTCGTCATACCTAACAGCACAAACACCTGGCAGAGCCTCATCCAAGCAGCTCCTGAGAGTCAAATGATGCCTGCAAATGTCTTAAAGTAAGTTTGAATGATTCACCCTTCAGATGAATGAGTTATATCAATGAAAATTTTCACCAAATTCATTTATTTTTCTTTTGTGCAGTGGAAATGTCGTCATCGAGACGAAATTCTTCGACGATGATCTCTTGGTATCCACCAGTCGAGTTAGATTATTTTACGTTTAGAGTTTTCCAGTCTCTATTAATTTATTTTTGATGAAAAGACGCTAGTCTCAGCACGATTTTATGAATATTTTACAAATAAATCATTCCACAACGAAAGATTTTTGCAATTCATTTTACAGCAGAATAGCATAGTATTGAATTCCCAACGAGCAAAAAAAAACAAAAATATTCCCATTATGATATATTGACCGAGAAATTGATAAAAGACAATTACATCCTCTTAAAATCCATGATTTCTATTGATGATGATCAAATTAATTAGGAAAATGAGTAAACAAATAAATAGAATTTCCCATGGAAGTTTTCTCAATTACAAAAAAAAATCGTTTTCGTAACTGATTACATTCCCAATAAAAGTGGCCTCAAAAATAAATGTCCTGTTATCTTTCTTTGAGATCGAGTAATACCCCCCCCCCCCC